GGGGGGGGGGATGTGCAATGAGCTAAGGGACCCAGGAGGGCTTCAGAGGCAAGGTAACATTGGAAAACATTCCTGAAGAGAAGTACAGGTGCTTTTTGACAGGTGAAAGGAGGCAATAGGATAGATAAGGTCCAGCTGTGTAAAGTGGCAAGGATGGGGGGGTGCAATTTTATGATCTTGCTCTGGCCATGAGGAGGTGGCACTGGTGATGAGACAGCCAGTGATGGTAGTAACCAGGCAGGTTTTCTCGTGAGGAGCCCTCCCTTCTGCTCTGACTCAGACCATCTTCCCCCTGCCCTGCCCCATACCTTGCTGTTCTTTCAACTCTAGAGGGTCCAAACTCTGACCTCACCGTCCTGTGAAATTGTGGTTCTGTCTGTTTTTAATCAACTTCATGCTCTGTACAAAATTATATTTTCAAAGTAACTGAGATTCCATAAGCTAGGCTTTTCATTTGCAAAGCTCAATCAGATGATATCAAATAAATGTCCCCTATGTGTAAAGAACTGCACAAAATCGGGTTCAGTTAAAATAAATCTTAGGGGCCCCTGGGTGGCTCAGTCGGTTAAGCGTCTGACTTTGGCTCAGGTCATGATCTCACAGCTCGTGAGTTCAAGCCCCGTATCGTGCTCTGTGCTGACAGCTCAGAGCCTGGAGCCTGCTTCGGATTCGGTGTCTCCCTCTCTCTCTGCCCCTCCCCTGCTGATGATCTGTCTTTCTGTCTCTCTCAAAAATAAATAAAAACATTAAAAAATAAAATAAAATAAACCTTACATTTGAGTTGATTTTTTTTCTCACACTAGTATCTTAAATTGTAAACCAACTGCAGATTTTATATCTTGTAAGTACTTCAGACTAGAGAGAAGTTTGAAAACAGTCCAGTGGCATCTGTTTTGAAAAAAAGGCTGATAAGTCCCAGCTAAGCCATGTAGATGGCAAACCCACACACTGCATGCATTTCTCATGCCCATTTCAGTCCCAGACTATTTTCTCTGACCTTATGCCCATAGTTAATGCCTTCTCGCCCACATGCCAGCCAGCCAGCAACAATAAAAACAAGCATCAGACTTCACAGGTTCCTTTGTAAGAATGTCCTTGGACTCCTAGTCAGGGCTTTCTTTCTAGTCACTTCTAGTCACTTCTGCTTCCCACTCCTGGCACTTCTAATCACACGGCTTGCTCTCAGAATCTGGCTTTCCTTTTCGTGGGTACCCCAGGAAACCATCTGCTTGGTGAGTGTCTGTTCCTGAGACACATTGGCTAACATGATATCACATTTGCTGGGCCTGCCTACCTCTGCACAGGAAGAATTAGGTCAAGCCCCACCCTCATCTCTGGAGGTGATCTTAGCCATCTTGGGAGTAGGTGGCTGTCTACTGGTTGTCATGAATACAATTAATAGATAGATGACTATTTATACATTTAGCAGTTCTCTAACTTTAGCATGCATCTGAGTCTCCTGGAGAGCTTATTAAATCTAGATTCCTGGTTCCATCCCCAAATTACTGTTTAAGTAGCTCAAGGATGGGACCTGAGCATTCCTTATAAACTTCCAGGCAATGCTGATGCTGCTGCTCTGTGGACCACATTCTGAGCAACACTGTACTATATGACTTAGCTCAATGGTTCTGATGTGAGAGGTGGGGAGCGATGATGAATCAGAGTCACCTAGAAAGAGTTTTAAAAATGTGCATATTGGGGT